CACTTCTGCGACGCTTTCCGAGACACGTTACCAATTGATTGTTCGGTGTCTTCTGTCTATTTGTCTGGAACGAGTGCACTGACATCTTTCGACTGAAAGCAGCGGGCGAAGTGATTGCGCTTCCCACATTTGACGCAAATGCGGCCCCACGCCGGACACTGTTCGCGGTTCCTCGGATGTCGTGTTGCACAGAAGCTGCAGGGCTCCTGTCGCGCGGTCGTGGCCCTCGTAGTTTTGCTCCTGGAAACGGCGCACAACTCTGAATCACCTGTGATTGTCATCTGCTGGAACTGATAGGCAGTGGAGGACTCACTGTTACAGATGTCGATACATTGCTGCAGAGATAGGTTGCGCTTTCGTAATAGTCGCTTCGTCAAACCTTCGTCATTGATCCCAAGAACAATGCGGTCCCGTATGAGACTGTCCGCCTTGCATTTAAAGAAACTGTAGGATCGGGCCAAAATCTTTAGCTCAGTGACGTACGTGTCAACGGATTCACCTGGCCGCCTGTTCCGCGAAAAGAAGAGGTAGCGTTGAAATGTCTCGTTTGTTTGGCCTTCGCAGTATTCACTGAACTTCTCAAGAACTGTCTCCAGATTGTTGGCATCTTCGCTCTTGTCGTAACACAATGTCTCTAGCACGCGGCGCGCATCATCTCCTGCTGCGTGTCGAAATATGGCCAAGCGGTACGCCATCGGTTGTTTGTCCAGACGTGATAAAGTGCAGAAATCCATCCATTTGCTCTTCCACAAACGCCAGTTGCTTGCCAAACTGCGTTCTTCCATGTTCAGCGGGGCAGGCATTTGAATAGCCGGTGCAGCTCCAATCATCGTCTGGGTGGTACTAATGTTCTTCTCCTTCTCTGACACCATGTTAAAAAGTCGGTCATTCAGGGACAAAACGTATATTCTGCAAACAACAGGACCAGGCGAAAACGGAGACAGACGTCGAGTGAAACATATCGGTATATACAGCTGGTTGGATCCCTAATTAACGACCTTTGTGAATGCATGACATTTTTCCTTTGATTCAGCCAAACAAACTCACTCTAATGCGTCCAACTGTTGGCCAATCAGCGTGCATGCGAGTAACGTCTGAACGTCCAATTAGCTGCCGCCTTTGATTGCGGCAGCCTAACGGCTTCCTTGTTGGGCTGGCACCGCACGTTCTTTCGACTGTATACTCCCATCACAGGTAGGAGCCGACCTCAGTGGCGTTCGTGTTGTGAGTTTCTTTTCCACTCCATCCCTCTTAGCCTTCACCTCAAACCACGATCTCACTATTCAACTTATATACTTTCGCGGAGTAATTTTTTGCTACTTATTATGCGGCTGGTAGCTTACTGGGACGATGCCCCTCCGTTACCGGTAGCTCAGCTGGCTTACACCTATTATATTTTCCCCCTATTTTTCGTATATGCATTACGGCACAGTAGCTGAGGTGTTTCCCACCTCTTGCTAACGCGTACAATGGTGAACCTGATGTTTTCAATAAGCGTTTCCTACCATTCTTGCATACTTTATCCTGCTGATGCGAGTTCTGGCAACTGGATCCACCTCACTTCGGTGCCCGGATGGTTGTTGTTCAAATGAACTGAGCTGAAATACCTAGTGTACGCAAAAGAGGTACAGGCAAGTTATGTTGGCCTAACGTTTGCAATCCTTTTACTATCTCATCACCAGAGTAGGGTATATGGAGCTGCATCCGGCATTTCTACCACACCTTTGGCTATAATTTGCCTGCCACTGATACTGCGAACAGCCACAGGGCGCATGCCCCTACCAAAGAAACGTGGGTGACTTGCGCTGAGACACCCGCAGCTCTATCCACACACTACGTATCAAATGTGAACCCGCCGGAATAAGGTTTGGAGACATGTGGATGGAAGTAAGGATAGATCCGGAGCCTAGCCGCAGGCCTTCAGCATGTATATCTTATATTTACAAAGTTGGAAACAAGTATAGCAGAAGTACATAGGGCTAATCGATAGACAGACCTACACGCGCACAAGTAGGGCCAGTCAATGCCGAGTGTGAACATCTGACTGGCGATAGTGACTAATCCGCCACACATGGGTCCACAGCCGCCATACATAACTCAGCAGCTTAAGTCGCTGACTCGTACGCGTAAGGTCACGCCTTCGAATCCGACAGGATTCAGCAAGTGAGCGATACTGACGTATTCCAATGAGACAAAACGGCTGGATAGCGGTTTTTTTAATATGGGCTAGATCTCTGCTTGTGTAAAGATGCGACGAATCTGCACGAAAACGACATTCTTGATGTGACTAAGCCGATTGCGGCGGTCTAATGCCATTAATAATACATATATTTCTCTTGATGAGAGAAAATTTGTCTATAGCGGCGCACATCAATTTGTACAGAAGAATCCATGCTCTTGCTTGGGTGACATGCATAGGTGGAGTTTTGGGATGTGCGTTTCATGTGTTAACATTCTGGCTGATGGTTGAGGCCAAAGCCTAGTTATGAATACATTGATGTTTTATGTTTTTAGACCCTTCTTGTAATAGCTCATCGAGGGATTATTCCCATGTGAATATAGCGCTTATGGTAGTTAGAGCAAGACATCTGGGGAGTCTGCTACTAACCGTTGCCACATTGTCACATGAGCTGAGTGTTATTGGTAGTTTATTCCACAGATAGCTGTATCTGACCAGGGAGAAATTAGAGCGGATGTTCGTTCTAGCCTTCGGTACATTCAATGTAAAATCTTTGTTGCGCAGCGCTAGAGTTGAGCAATGTTGTAAATTGAGTGTACGCACGTTGGAATAGGTCGTTGAAAAGCAGCAACAAGTTGTGCTTCAGTCGTCGAATGCGAAGGGCTTCGAGATGAAGTTCATTGCAGTACATATTAGATCGCGATAAGCTCATCTTTATCATACCCTGGTCACTTAGCGACTGTTCGCCCACGTTCCCATTCCCTGTTCGAAGATGCCCATGTGGCAAATCTGTTGACCTACTGGTGGATCGCATACAGCGGACATTCGCGAGGCAGCTCAAGTATCGCAGTAACTACATACAATTCATTCCGCACATGCCGCTCCGACGAAGACCCTCCGTGCCAGGAACTCTGTCATACTAACAGATGTGCAGAATTCTATGTAGGCACTGTTGATGGAAGCACTTGAGATATTTCTTATCCATTTTGCGTAGCGTCCGTCTTTTACTGTCGTAAAACAGAACCGACTTGTACACCGTCGGCTTGGTTATATTACTTCTCTCATGCTGAAAATGTACATACCCGGGTACACAAAGCCTATTTTGACTTGACTTGACTTGACTCCAAACCCAACGTTACCTCTTGCCGAAAGTTTCACATATCTGCGAAAAACCGGTGCACAGCTTACTGGTCATCTGTAGTTCGGCAGAAAAGACACCGCCCAGATTGCAAAATCTCGATGAGCTCTCTATAAACTTCTCGGCAATCTGGATTTGCGGCCGGCCCATGTACTCTATTTTTGCTGTAGGCGGAAAAAGACAAACAGTCTTGGTTGTGTTGATGGTGAGTCTGAAGTTTTCTGCCGTCAAAAGAACAGCCGTCGCCATACGTTGCAACTCATCCACCCTATGTGAAAACAACGCGCAGTCGCTGATAAAAACTGTACATGGAAGGTTGTTTCCCGCACTTTCGTTATTGGCCGGAATTAATGGCCACTCAGCAATCAACCATCAATGTAGTGCATTGTGTTCACAGGCTTTGAAAGCGGTTGACGTCACAGCAGTTACATAGATTTTGAACACGCTGGGTGCTAAGTCTCGAAATTGCTTCGCAGGCGGTACAAATCAAGGTCATCCGAGGTTTGTCCAAATAGCTCCCCTCTCGCTTGCACACCACTGTGCAAGCATTCAGTTTGACTTACGCCTGCAAACAAACTAACTCAACACCAGTCACCGTCCTTCGCGGTTCACCGTGTCAAACCTCTCAGTAAAATCTATGTACAGCGAATAGAATGGCTGGTTACGCTCATAGCATATTGTGCAATTTACATACCTCGAACCACATAACTGGGCTACTGCGGCACGAACGGAATCCGCATTGCTATTCCGGCACATTCGGTTCAACGGCCTGAGTGATGAAGCGGGTGAGCAGGATTAGTGTGATAACCTTCCCAAGACTACTTAGCAATTTGATGCCACGATAATTTGTGGCATCTTGCTTCATCCCTTTTCCCTTGTATAGTGGTACCACAAGGGCACCTTTCAAAGTAACTGGCGCCTCTTCAAACCACCTTCGTTGCACGAAATTCTGCAGCCTAGATAGACTTACCGGCCCGCCGTTTTCAGCAGCGCTGACGGTATCCTGTCGGCTCCGACGCACTTGCCTTTTCTTAGTTGTGTCATTGCTTTCTGCATCTCACGCAGTGCCGGCATGTCATCGTGACCGCCCTGCACAACATGTTTTGCAGCTGATGTAACTTATCCCAGTCAGTTTCTGAACGGTTGTTCAAGAGAGTCGAAGTCTGTGCACCACATCTGCATGATAGGTGTAGCCTGCGTACAGACAGCAACCGCAATAGTATCCACCAGCATCCTCATTGGCTACAAAGTTGGTTCATATGCTGCCTTCAATCGCCAACTGTCTGCGTACCCTTTATCAACTTCGCGGCATACCTGATCCATTGGAGTGAAGAAGACATAAGTCAAGTAGCTCAGTCCGTTGTGTTCAGCCACTGACACTAAAGCTTACTATGGCGTTAGGTAGAGTCTAGCAAGTTTTGAAATTCTGTTTGAAATGCGAAACACGAATGACCCTTGGAGCTGAATATCGCTTCAGGATTAACTGTTCAAACCACCGTTAAACATTCCTCATCGAATAGTGAGATTACAACTTTGGGTACAGTGCACAGTGTAAGTTTAAACAGCTCAGTTAGCGCGGTTGTGATATGATACAAATGTCTATGGAACAGCAATTTGAAAAGATTCTTCACAGCGTGAAAAAGTGAAATTTAAAAATAGCACTTCACCCTTTCTGCCATGCAGGTTGATACAAAGTTCGAGATCATTCCATGCAACAACGATAAACATGGGGAATTTCGAAGTGATCGGACCTCGGTCTTGGTGCGATCAAACACCAAAATGGAAATACCGGTAAGTCAAGTGTGATATCAATAATATTTCAGTTGCATCAGTATGCGTCATTAATCTGAAACGATATACTGTGGATTTAGTATGGGCAAAATGCAATCAAGTGTTTTAGGTTAAAAGAGTAAAAGTAAAAAAACAAAATGCATCTGAAACAGTGGCACAAATCGGTGGATATACCTACTCGGAGTTAGTGGTGACCGCAGTTTATCTTAGTTTTGTTATGTACAGGTAGCCTAGGTTAAATCGTATAAGAAAGATGAGCAACGTACTAACAAGTTACCACTAATAGGCTATTGTATTTATGTACCCGAGTGTCGCTATACTTATGGCTGCAGAAGCTATTAGGCACTGCATTTTCATTTGTCAGTGGGATAGGGAGTGTCTTGCTCCTTACTCCCTATAACTCGTTGTCTCGTTACTTTTATAACTGGCAGATCGAGTAACCGCCTCGGAAGAACATTCTAATGATCTGGCATTCTAGTTCACCAATCGGGCGACAATCAGGGCTGATGCAACATGTGATCTACTCCGACGCAACCACTGTACCATTTTGTGGTCCATAATTGCTCAATCCAACATTTAAAATTGCGCTTCGCGGGATAACCGACCAACAGTTTCTTGCATGTAAAGAACACTGTTATTTTGTGCATCTCAGTTGTCCCTCATGTGAACCACGCCATTGGTAGAGCCATGCGGAGGACAGTTTTAGTCAAAATTGAAACGATGGGGTCGTTTATATCTTCCCACACTATAGGCGAAACTTTAGACCATAATATAGCCTTAACAGCTAAAAGCGCTGAAGACACGAACAAAATCACGGCGTAGGACTGTACACAACCACTTTCATTAAGGGATTAAAATGAAAGATACTCCAAAACCGAATGATAAATGGTTGGTTTAAGCCCATTTGTACTGATTTATGAAACAAAAGTCCAGTTGACCAACCCGATTTCTGATGGACTTTATTTACTTGTGTGTATAGTCCAGTTAACATAAACTAATGAGCTCGTTGTGAAAACAAAGTGGCAAAAATCTTGAATGGTAACTTTTAAAAAACTTTAGAACACACATCAGCACATACTACATCATTGCTACAACAATTTAAGACTTCGATGAAAAAGCTGTGTGTGACAGATAAGTATGCATAGGGCTTTTTTAATCTAAACTCTAGTCCAATGTACCGAAAGACAAAGCTGCTCATCTTAACAGTGATGTTTGTCAAAGTGACAAGAGTGCTCAACTCCTTCACACGATACCCTGAGTTCCGTTATTTCAGATATTCTTATCGGCTGCTTACATCTTGTCCGTTGAAATATGATGTTGCGTACAGAGGAAGCAAGGGGAAACACATGCATTTTTAATGTGAAACAATTATGCAGCTCATTTTGGTAATGCGGAGCTGGTCAGAAACTCCAGCTGCCCGTACAAATTGGGCTCCTGGCACCGAGTCAATGAAGCTTCGCTAAACGAATGGTTCCGTTTTTGAACTTTGAACTTTTGAGTACTGGGTATGAAGGACTCAGGCAGACATCGTGCTCTTCAGCTTAAACCGCCCAGAAATGTGATCCTATGTTTTTAGCAGATGGGTGGTGCAGTTCGAACCGGTGAACGATCGTGGAACGATGAGTGCAGTCTGCTGGTGACACCCAACGATACTTTCCTTGTGGCAGTTTTTGTTATCCGTCAATGTCCACCACAGAGATGGACTCCCGCCTAACCTTAGCCTTTGGAAGAGTCCTACGACGAGGCTACAGTCGTGTTCTCATCGGGAAGTTCCAGCATCCGTAAGCGACCAATTCAAGACCGACTTTTAAGAATATTCTGCAAGCATTCGGCTTTTCACCCATGTCACTTCTCGCACTTGATTCAGAACGGGAAAATATACCATCTGCGCTTGATCTGGTGCTCACGAACGAGGAGCTTATGATTGAGAAACCAAAGATGGAGAGCCCTATGGGGCGGGGTGACGGCGTAACAAAAGTTTATAACATTGTGTGTTGTGCGGAATATCCACAAGCACATAGTGACTTGTTTCGAACAATCATACACTGCGATATACTAACAGAACTTGTTAAATAAACCAACTGGGAGTTTTCGGACTACTGTTTCATTGACATTCCTTGGATGGAGTTTGCTCTGATAAAATCCACCTAGGTAAACAAGCCTCTTCGTTCTGTAAGAGCACACTCACTCATTCCGAGCCGAACCGAAAAATGCCATGGCCTTAAGAGACGCAGCGTGGAATTTGTACAGAGCGAGCCCTAGCCTTGACAACGGGAGCAGAAATGAAATGAATCGTATTTACTGTACGACACGTGTCCGTGAGGACAATGTAGTACATCAGCAGAGCTAAGTTGAAAGGTTCTGTGCTAACAAAATGCTTTCTGCAGACATGTCAAGAGCATCCGGAGGGTGAAGCGTCATGTTCTTCAACTAATATCCGCAGGCGAATGTGCGCAAACTACTCAGGATGCAGCCAACGTTCTACAGCTACAATATGCTCCGATTTTCTGACGTGCTCCCAACATTTGTAAAATACCTGTCCCATTCCCCCAGAGGCCAATGTTTACACACTTCGCTTTTAGTTCAACGACCATTTTGAGGAGGATACTATCTCTGCGCACTCATAGTACTTTAGCACATGAGATTGAGCACGTCCTGCAGTGTCTGATAATGGATGTTTACTCTCTTTCTTAATCCTGATTCATGGACCCAGTAGTGTGCTTAAGTTAATGTTTCCAATAACGAGGGAGCCATGTATCACCCGGTTTTGTCTAGCGTTGCTGAACCAGTTGGTTTCAGCTCATGTCGGCGTTGGAGTAAGTTACCCAGGAGACACTGTACTGCTGGACCGGTTTCAGCTTAACAGCCGACTGTGCACGGTTCTGCTTTGGGGCTCATGCAGAATCACTAAACGTCGCAATAATACGCAACTCCTTTAGATCTCTGCATGCACTCTAACTAACCGCAGCTGTGACTCGATCAGTCACAACCTTTATTGTGAAGTTTATAGGCTCTTGGACAGAGCTGACAAGCGCGATATCCCGATTCTGCTAAAGATTCCATTGCACGAATCATTCGCATGATGCCCTGGTAACCTCAACTTGGAAATCATTATACCGTCAATAGGTATTTCACACATATTGTCCATGCAATCGTCTTCTTCTCCTCAGCACTAGCTACAAGCGTGCAAATCGACGCTTTGTAAATTGGCGCCCCTGTCCTCTAACTTACCTGCGTTCACAGATAAATCACAGTGCTATCAATTTCAGCTGACAATGCAGTCCATGTAAGGGGTGGCACGTAATTTCGATCCACCTTTCTCGACGTAGATCAAGTGTTGACCTGTGCTCAAATCTACATAGGTTTCAGCGGATGCCCGAGAACGAAATAAACAATGAACAATGATTTGTCACGGGATAAAAGCAAGTGCATGACACGTCCCGTAGGATGGTTGAGGTGAATATGATGAAATCAAAATATGTCTGGGTCATCTATCGAACGTCTGCCGAGATGAATAGTTTGATAGGTAACATCAGTGTAAAATTAAAATAAATTATCGAGCGCAAACGTTCAGAAAGACACTGGGGTGCAGTGATCATTGAGGTAAAGAGTGAGAAAAGTAAACTATGGTCGCTCACTTAGGTCCATTTAATACATAAATCCAGTTGAAATGCATTCTTGGCGTAATCCACAGTAGTTTAGGTAACAAAATGTTGGGAGCTAAGAGCAACATCTAATCGTTTTTTGAAAACATCCAAGGTAGGAGAGGATACGACTGAATCTGGGAGTGCGTTCCAAGGTTTGCAAACCCGAAGGGAAAAGTAATTCCGTCGACATCCTAGACGGCTGTATTGTTCCTTCAACTTTAAACAGTTACGCTGAGCTGCGTGTTGCGGCTAAGTTTCAGCAAATGGCGGCATACGTGGTTGGGGTCACTCAATACTTGATATGCTAATATGAGATCACCGCGCAGTCTTCGATAGCGTCCGCTGAAAATTCCCAGCAACTTCAGCCTTCGGTGGTAAGAGTGATAGCGCAGGCCCTTTACATGTTTTGTTGCTCTCCGTTGTGGCGCCTCCATCGCTTCTAGGTCACGCTTCAACCAAGGTTGCCAAGCTTGGATAGCGTATTCAACATGCGGGCGCACGTAGGAATTATGCATCATTGGGAAGATTGATGGGTCAAATCTCCCTAATGCTCTTCGCAGCATGCCGACATGCTGGTTGCCTCTTTTCGCAGCTACCTCAGCCTGTTTTGAACAGTTGAGGTCGCTCTGTACGATCACACCCAGGTCACGTTCCTGGGAACTATTCTCCAGTCCATTGGCCCCAAGTGAATAGGTGTAGTTATGAATATGGCGTAATTGTACAACGCGACATTTGTCTACTTTGAACGATAGGGCGTTTTGAAGTGACCAGTTCGACACTGTGTTATGATCGCACTGGAGCCGTTCATGGTCGTCCGCTCCTCTGATCCTTCGCCATACCTTGATATCATCAGCGAAAAATAGGAAATCGGAAGTGATCGATCTCGCCAAATCGTTAATGAACACCAAGAATAGACGAGGTCCAAGAACCGAGCCTTGTGGTACTCCGCACGCCACATCGATTGCATCAGACAATGATTCTCGGACTCTCACCACTAGCCGTCTTTCTTGTAGAAAATTGTCAATCCAACTCAGGATTGGGTCGCCAATGCCGTAATTCCGAAGCTTGTGAACGAGAATGCGATGGCTTAAGCGATCAAATGCTTTTGAAAAGTCTAGGTAGATGACATCGACTCCTACTCCATCATCAACAGCTTCAGTCCAGCTATTACGTGCAATTAATAGGTTAGTATTACACGAATGCTTTTGACGAAAGCCATGTTGCTCTGGGACTATTAAATTGTGGCTTTCCAGGTATTCCATCAGCGCATCTGCGATGATTGTTTCCATCACTTTGGATAGTACTGGAAGTAGTGTTATTGGACGGTAGCTTGCAGGATCAGTGCGGCTACCT